ATGTATATATATATATATATATATATATATATATATATATATATATATATATATATATATATATATATATATATATATATATGAGCAGTATAATTATATAAATATATATTTGTGTTTTTCATTAAATTTCAATATTTATTTATAATCATCTTCTAATTAATTAACTTAACAATAAATTTCTTTTTCAATTGTATTAAAAAAACATCATGTCAAACTTAATAATATATAAAAATTAACTCATATATATATAAATATTTATGTTTATTTGTTTACAAATATTTACTCTGTGACATCAACATCGTATTTAAAAGTGAAACTTAATTACAACAACAGCAAACAAACACAGTGAGGACATGTGAAAAAAAACACACTTGGAACACGGCATCACACACACGCACACACGCACACACACACGCACACACACACACACACACACACACGCACACACACACGCACACACACAGTTGCATGTGTTAAGCGGGGATCTCTATACAGTTGAATCCATCCATCCACTGCATGGTACTAAATTAAGCGCCACACAAAATTTATTTTTTGAACCCCCCCCCTCCACTCATAGCCTGCCATCCTCCATGGCCGCCCTTGAAAATGATGATAAAGATGACGATGCAGACAACGATGAAGATGATGATGTTGTTGGTGATGGTGATGATCATAAAGATGATGAAGACGATGATGATGATGAAAATTCCTAGACCGCTTTCTTGACCGATATTTTTGGATCCATTAAAAATCTTGTAGACGATGATGGCTCTTTTGTTGTGGATGTTGTTGGGAATATTCTCTTAATGCTTATTGTTGGTTTAACTGGTGTTGATGGTGTTGATGGTAATGATGACACTGTTGTTGCTGTTGTTGTTGTTGCTGTTGTTGTTGGCAATGTTTTTGTTGTTGTTGTTGCTAGTGAAGATGGTAATTTTGTTGATGACGTTGCTATTGTTGAACCTTTTCTCGATGTTGTTGTTGTTGTTGTTGATTTTGTTGGCATCGGTCTTTTTGTTGAAGATGTTGTTGCTGTTGTTGATGATGGTGGTTTTGTGGTTTTGGTTGCAGTTGTTGTTGTTGCAGTTGTTGTTGTTGGCAATGCTTTCGTTGTTGTTGTTGTTGCTAGCGATGATAATTTTGTTGATGACATTGCTATTGCTGAACCTTTTCTCGATGTTGTTGTTGCTGTTGCTGTTGTTGATGATGGTGGTTTTGTGGTTTTTGTTGTTGCTGTTGTTGTTGATGATGATTGTGGCCTTGCAGAAGTTGTAGAAGTAGTAGAGGCAGCTGAAATCGTTTTCCGTGGCTTTCTACTTCTTCTTATCGGTGGTCGTTGTAGCAGCGTTAGTGGCGGCGATTCTGAAGACGACGACGACGACGACGACGAAGATGGGTAAATGTTCTTCTTAGGGATCGATGATGTTGTTGGTTTTGATGGGGATGTTTTATACCCTGTTGTTGTTGTTGTGTTCCAATTCAATAATTCATTAAATTATTGATTGATTGATTAATTGATTGATTGATTGATTGATTGATTGATTGATTGATTGATTAATTGATTGATTAATTGATTGATTGATTGATTGATTGGTTCATTCATTCATTCACTCATTCAACTATCCATCAATCATCCAATCACCAATTCATACATCTATTCGTTTATTCATTTATTGATGATGATGATAACGATGCTAAAATAATGATGAAGACAACGATGATGATGATGATGACGATGATGATGATGATGATGATGAAGACAACGATGATGATGATGATGTAGACCTTGGTAGGAATTCAGTTGTTGGTACTTGATGGCGGAATCATTTCTTCGTGCACTTTCTGTCGGTGTTGGTTGTTCTACATTAGTGATGATGATGACGATGACGATGGTGATGATGGCGATGATGGTGATGATGATGATGGTGTTGATGACGATGATGAAGATGACGATGGTGATGATGGTGATGATGATGAAGATGACGATGACGATGGTGATGATGATGATGGTGTTGATGACGATGGTGATGATGATGATGATGATGAAGATGACGATGGTGATGATGATGATGGTGTTGATGACGATGGTGATGATGATGATGATGATGAAGATGACGATGGTGATGATGATGATGGTGTTGATGACGATGGTGATGATGATGATGAAGAAGAAGATGATGAAACAAAGGAGAACTTGAAGTGTTTAAGAAGCGAACCATAAAAATAGATTTTAATATGTTATGTTGAATGAATGGATGAATGAATGAATGGATGAATGAATGAATGAATGAATGGATGAATGAATGGATGACAACGACTAAACCCAGAAGAACATATTTTACTTCTTTGAACTTTCTTCTTGAAAAAATAATCTGTTCATGGAATATTTAACTAACTAATAATATACGTACATTCACTCATTCAATAAATTCATTCATCCATCTACTTATTCATTTATTCATTCATTCATTCATTCATTCATTCATTCATTCATTCATTCATTCATTCATTCATTTATTCATTCATTCATTCATTCATTCATTCATTCATTCATTCATTTATTCATTCATTCATTCATTCACTCACTCATCCAACATACCTTTGATGTAGAAGAAGGATTGAGCGCAGAAGAAGGTGCCAAAAAGCATTAAAATGCAGAACAATATGTACAATATCACTTCCTGACTGTCTGATGAATGAACGAATGAATGAACGAACGAATAAATGAATGAATGAGTGAATGAATGAAAAATAATGAATGAATGAGTGAACGAAGAATGAATGAATGAGTGAATGAATGAACGATTGAATGAATGAATGAATGAACGATTGAATGAATGAATGAACAAAAATGAATGAATGAGTGAACGAAGAATGAATGAATGAGTGAATGATTGAATGAACGAACAAACGAGCGAACGAACAAACGAACGAATAAATGAGTAAGTGAATGAATGAAAGAATGAATGAATGAATGAATGAATAAACCTTCATATTCATCCTGAACGCGACTAATTCTAAACATCTTCTTCTTAGTGAGCCTCTTCACATCAAGACCACACCACATAACTTTAGGAACGCTACTATCGTCGTCGTAGCCACCACCACCACCACCACTACTACCACCACCACTACCACCACTACTACCACTACCACTACTACTACTACTACCAGCATCATTCGATAGACCAATCCATATTACATCCGTAGGCATATTTCGCACTTTTATCAACCGCTTTGACTCGTCGTCATCGTTATAGACATCATTATCATCGTCCAACAACTCTTTGTAATTATAATTAATTAATCAACCAATTATGCAAATTAACTGATTAATTATGTTAATTGACGAATAGGCTATGTTAATTACATTTCGTAAGATGAAATCACTTCAATTGTTTCAAATGAATTAACAAAATTTCTGCCATTCTCTCATCAACATTTATAAAACACTCAATTATAATAATAATTACTAATCTTATTATAACTATAATTAATAATAATTATAGTTAATATAATTATCAATATAATTAATAAAAACCTTTATAAAAGTTGGAATCAAAGTTAAGCACCCTCGTTTTGAGGCTATCTTTCTTCAGTTTCCCTGACTTTAAAAGTCTCAAATTCTCATTTCTAAATCCACTTTTACCACTTTTATTATTATTATTGTTGTTGTTATTATTATCCTCGTTTGTGAGGTAATCTTTGAACTCTTGCTCAACCAAATAGTAATCATCGAAACAAGACCACGTGACTGATGAAGAAAAGTTCTGATTGGACGCCCAGACAGCCAATCCCAGCGTCCGTTTTTTCCTGGCACTGGTCACGTGGACGAGTATGAAGTTAGTTGATTGGTCGATTGTAAGATAGTCTGCCTTCTTCCATTGGTCGAAATTCAGGAGGTCACCAGTGACGTCAGCCCTATTTACGATTAGGGATTCGATGCGGTCCACGGCTGTTATCGTCATCATGACTGCGATTGATGGATGGATTGTTGAATAAATGAATGAATTTATAAACGGTTAGAATAATTAATAAATGAATAAAATGAGTAAAGAATGAATGAATGAATGAGTGAAGGAATGAATGGATGGATGGATGGATGGATGGATGGATGGATGGATAGGTAAAATAAGTTTGTTACTTCTTCCGGCAGTATCATAAACATCTGGGAAAGTTGCAAATGCAAATTTAAAGTTATCAATCCCGTATTAAAAATAGTGAAAATGAATGAATGAATGAATGAATGAATAAATGAATGAATGAATGAATGAATGAACGAACAAACAAACAAACGAACAAATGAATGAATGAGAGAACAAATGAACGAATGAATAAAAATAGAATTACGTTTCTAACTCTCTTCATGGCTAAACAACTCAGGCGTCGTCACTTCGTGATCTGCAAATCATCATCATCACCATCATCATCATCACCACCATCGTCCTCATCATCATCATCATCATCATCATCATCATCACCATCACCACCACCATCGTCCTCATCGTCCTCATCATCATCATCATCGCCATCACCATCACCACCACCATCGTCCTCATCGTCCTCATCATCATCATCATCGCCATCACCATCATGACCTCACCGGAAGGATTCCACACTCCGTAGTCATCATCATCTTCTTCTTCATCCTCCTCC